GGCGTCGTGTACAGCCAATATAAAGCCAATATTATTTTTAAATACTCGAGGCCCAGATTCAATGCAACCCCCGTTCACAATTGAACTGCACCCTCCACGCAGGCGTAGCAGCAGGTAGGACAACATCTAAGGAGAGTAGTACAAACAGCGAATGGACAAGAGGGAAAGGAAGAAAACTTACCTAGATGATGACTTAATTTCTTTCTAACCCAGTCTTTCACTTCATCCGCGGTGAGCTTCCGCTCTGCTTCTTCTCGCTGTATCACAAATGCAGCCACGACTTCGCCGTACCGGTCATCTGGTACGCCGACTACGGAAACGCTGGATACGCTAGGATGGGCAAAGAGGCAGTTTTCAATTTCTAAAGGATGAATATTTTCACCCCCACGGATAATCAAATCTTTGATCCTGCCTGTGATCGAGATATATCCATCTGGCGACATTGTGGCTTCGTCACCAGTCTACGCTCAAAAGAAGCATTAGTTGAGTGTTAGGCAGTTGGGAGATATCCCATGACTGTTATTAGACTCACATGCATCCATACTTTGCCCTCCTCATCTTTCACCATCACCTCCGCAGTACGTTCTGGAGCGCCCCAGTATTCCTTCATGACCAGATAGCCGCTTACGACAAGTTCGCCTTTGGTTTCGACCGGAAGAGTTTTCGTTCCATCACGGGGATCCACCACTTTCGCCTCCACATGAGGCATGAGCCGGCCTACACTGGTGATGCGTTTTTCAATGGGGTCGTCCGTTGTTGTCATCGCTGAAACAGGACTAGTTTCCGTCATGCCATAGCAGATGGTCAGTTCCGTCAGATTAAGCGTCTTGTGAAGCTTTTTCATGAGCTCTGCTGGGATGCTACTGCCAGCTGCAATCCCAGTTCGTAGGTATTGGAATCCTTCATGCGGCACCTTTCCCTCCTCCAAGAGATCTAGCTCTTCGACGAACATTGTCGGAACCCCATAAAGCGCCGTGCATCTCTCATCCTGGACTGCTTTGAGTGTGGGAATGGCATTGAAGGATTCTGTAGGGAACACGATGGCTGAG